CTTCTGTCAAACATTCTAAAAAATGGAAGTCTAGATGGAATCACCTGGTTCAGTCCTTTCCCCAGCACACTGCCACCTCAGGTGAAGGCAGGGCCTAGCTTTGGTGACAAGATCTTGTGAGGCCGGGGGCTTCCTTCCAGCACTAGAGATTGGGACTGGCATGGCCCCAGGAGGTCATATGATCACTCCTTAGCATGGCAGGTGGATGAGAGCAGAGGGCCTATACCTGACCCCACCCCTGGCTCCACCACTAGCCAGGTGAAGAACTTGAGCAAGTCATATAACCTCTCTGAGCTTCAGTTTCAACATCTGTAAAATTCGTGCTCCTGCATCATAGGAGTGATCTGTGCAAAGACCTGGAGCAAGACCCATATAAAGAATGTCCTCAGCAGACGTGGCTGCCACTCCAGTGACTTGGTTTTCTATGTTACTCAACCAGCAATGCCTCCTAGAGTTCAAGCTTTCTAGAAGAAACACAGTGGCCCTTATCAATTAATCCCCCTGTGGTCATTCACTTAAATATCTACTGAGCACCTACCATGTGTCTAAGCCCCTAGTGGGAGGGGGACAGTTCTAAAAACATTGTTAGAATATAGCCCACGAAACACTGAAATGAATTCTGATATCACACAAAAAAACGACTTAAATAGCCCAATGTAATCAAATGTATCCTATTTCTTTCCTGTTATCAGCCTGTTTTCCCCAAAGCTGAGACACTCATGATAATATCTTTCAGTGATGGTTGAAAAATGACTTTCTGAGAAAGAGTTTAAATGTTTCTGGGCTTAAAAATTCCCATCATGCCCAGTAATCCTACTCAAGGACTGCTTGGGTGAGGCGGTACTAAGATGACTGTTGGCCTCTGTGAACCTGTTCAATTGCACCATCTTGTCCCCCAGCAGAAGACTCTCCCTTTCAGATGTCAGGGCCGTCCTGTTCAGAGGCAGCAGGAGCAGAGGACTCCTGTTTCAAGCTGGAGCAGCAAGGCTGCTTAGAAAAGGGAAAGCCAGACCTAGCTTAGCCTGACATGCTTCCTGGACCCTGACCTACAAGGGCCCCTGTCTGTAGACAGCAGGGCCTGGGAGAGGCCACTGGCAGTGCCCGATGGTGGGCACTTCAGCGCCAAGGGAAAGTGAAGCAAAGTCCCCCAGCAGGAAGAAGTTCTGAGGCTGTGGCCTTGCCCTGCCTGTTGTCTTGGTGAGCTCATGCACAGATGTTCCTGTTTCAACAGGCATGGTCAACCCCACCCCCACCCCAACTTCTGGATAGCAGTTCTTCACGGTGCCGTGTTCCCCACTCCAAGTCTCTGCACCAGGCCCCTGGAGGTCTCGCCATGTTGCCAGAAAGTTCACCTCCTGCCTGTGCTTAGTTGGCCCAAAAGAAACGAAAACTTGGCTGAAGAGGGAAGAACCTGAAAGGCATTAAGGCCAGTTTCTTCAACACCCATCACTTTCACTCATACTCAGTGTGGGAGACAGCTATGATCATTTCTGTTTTGGGGGCATTTTATAAATCCTGAGGCTAAGAGAAGTGGTGTGATGATCAAGTGCCAAACTGGCCATCAGACCCAAATTTGTCTGCCGTGTCCCTTTCTCCATTATAGAGCTGTTTATTCTTTTCCTCTCTGCTCTTTTTTTCTCTTCTTCTTCTTTCATGTTTATATGCACATCACTAATGGCTTTGCATAAAAAAAAAGGCACTTATTAAAAGCTGGCTACTCTCAGGGGATGGATCATCCCATGCTCCCTAGGCATAAATCAACTTGATCCATGAATGACCCATGAGCACCTTAAATCCAGGTGTGGAAAAGTAGCTTTCAGCCCATTAGCCCCCCCCCCCCCACCTCCGGCTTACCCAAACCCCACGGGCCCCCACAAGAGTCTCCCATGAAAGGAGATGAAGCAGATGTGGGAAGATGGGATCTCAAGTGATAACCTGTCAATATACTGGTGGTCCAAGCTGCCTCTCTGGAGCTTGTTAGAAATGCAGGCTCTCCAGCCTGCCCCAGACCTAAAGCCAGAATCTGCATTATAGTACAATAGAGGCCAGGTGCACAAAATTCATGCACAGGTATGAGTGTCCCTGAGCCCAGCCTGCACCCTCTCCAATCCAGGACTGCTGGCTCCCAACTGCCTGCCTGCTTGCCTTCCTGATTGCCCCTAACTGCTTCTGCCTGCCAGCCCAATCACCACCTAACCACTCCCCTGCCAACCTGATTGATGCCTAACTGCTCCCCTGCCAGCCTGTTTGACCCTAACTACCCTCCCCTACAGGCCTGGTCACCTCAACTGCCCTCCCCTAAAGGCCTGGTCACTCCCATCTGCCTTCCCCTAAAGGCTTGATTTTCCCCAACTGCCCTCCCCTGCTGGCCTGATCACCCACAACTGCCCTCCCTTGCAGACCTGATCCCTCCTAATTGCCCTCCCCTGCTGCTCTCACCCTGCTGTGGTGGTCATCTTGTGTCCACAAGGGGCAGTCATCTTTGACCACATGGGGGCAGCCATCTTGTGTGTTGGGGTGACAATCAATTTGCATATTATTATTTTATTAGATAGAATTAGATAGGCTAGGGGCCCGATACATGGGTAAGGGCTGGCTGGTTTGTCCTGAAGGGTGTCCTGAATCAGGGTGGGGGTTCCCTTGGGGTGTAGGGTGGCCTAGGTGAGGGGCCTGTGGTAGTTTGCAGGCCAGCCACGCTCCCTGGTGGCCCAAATGGAGGCCCTGGGATCTGGAATTTATTTATCTTCTATAATTGAAACTTTGTATCCGTAAGTGGAGGCCAAGGCAGGCCAGGGCTGTGGAAACTTGGCTTCCTCTATCGCAGAGGGCAACTCCTGCTCTCTCCAGCTCCATGGTTGCTGCCATTTTTGTTGGGATTTATTTATCTTTTATAATTGAAACTTTGTAGCCTTGAGTGGAGGTCTGGGTCTGCTAGGACAGGTGGAAAGCGTGGCTTCCTCCACTACCAGAGAAACCCAAACCTCCTGCTCTCTCTATGGCTGCAGCCATCTTGGTTGGGTTAATTTGCATACTTAACCTGGTTGGCTGTTGGATATGGCTTGAGTGTGTAGCAAAGGTATGGTCAATTTGCATATTACTCTTATTAGATAGGATCCCTAGGCATTTAGTGTGCACATTCAAGTTGAATAAGCTCTCCTGACCTACAACTTTGGTCAGGGACTGTGTTGCCACCATTTCTCTCCAAGGGGATGCTATCTTAGGTTCTGACTGTGTCTCAACTAAGGGAAGCCAGGCTGACACAGCGCTAGGGACTTGTGAAACCCTGCATCTAAAGCCACATCTAAGTAAGGATGCCATACTGTAAGGATCCCCATACAGGCAGGATTCACTGCTTCTTAGAATCTTCCCATCCTCATACTTGGATATCAGAGGTGAATTTGAAGGGGAAAAGGAATCCATGTGGGGACAGTGCTTGAGGCATTGGCCAACAGCATGTCACTGTTTCCTATGAAAGCAGGGCTCCCATCCCTATCCTGGAGTGCCACCTCCCTCAGTTACTAAATGATTTACCTAGCAGCCCCCAGCTTTCCTTTTGCCTTTGCCTGGAAGACAAGGGCTCAGGCCCCTGAAAGTAGCACTAGTTGACCCACAACCACTGTAGGAGGAACTAGTGATGAAGGGGATCCCAACGACTTCAGAGCCAGAGGCAGAGCACAGGACATAGGCAATCTTTCTCACAGTGATACATCTATCACAGGCCTCACTGCTCCTTCCCAGGATAAAAAGAAAGCAGGAATTGAGGGGAGGGGGCAAGGGGCAAGGATAATGCCCAGATCTCACTCACATCCTCACAACTCTCCCTTTCCAGAGCCTACCCAGAGCCTAAGAACATTGCCTAGAACCTGCGCAGGAAGCAGGGTGGCAAGCAGGGACTCTCTGCCCCATGACTACAGACTGGCACAGACTCACCTTCGGTGAGGGAGACATGGGATCTCAGATGACCTTACCTGGATTCCTGGGAATCAGGAGGCCCTCCCTACTTTTTCATCCACACAGGATTTGGGGATCAAGATTAACTGCAGACGACCACCTTTCCTCTTCCCAACCATTTTTTCTCCTCCCTCCAGTCCAAACCATGGAGTGTGGGTTAGGCGTCCCAAAGACATAGGGACAGAATGGGTCTACAGGGCGTGGACGCAGGAACCCCAACCCAGCATTACCTGAAGCCTGCCCACCCAAAGTCCCTTTCGTGCCCGGGACTGGTGCCCGGGCTTCCGCGGAGAGGGGCTGCGCACCAATTTTCAACACCCACTAGAGGTGAGCCAGCAGCCAGCCCGCGGGCTGCGAACTTGTGGGGACGCCAAGGGCCCGCGTCACTGGGCAGTCTCGCCCCTTCACGTCTCCACATAATCCTTGGTCCGAAATAGCTCCTGGTAATGCCAAGATGAGGCGAGCGGGGTATTAACCCAGGGCCGCGAAGGAAGGCTTGGAGGCATCCAGAGGGAGGAGGTCTCAGCGTCCCGGGGTGGAGGCAGCTCAGGGTCCCATCTGGAGGGGCTGAGTCCCAAAGTGACCCGCCCGCTCGAGGGTGGGGTTTGCGCCCGGAGCGTCCCTCCCCCCTGGGACCTGGGATCTCCGGGATAGGGAATTCGATGATAGAAAATTCGAGCACAGATCGAATTCCCTATCCCGGAGACAAACACCATGCTCCAGCTCTGCGCCCCAAGCAGTCCCCGGGGTGAGCCTGAGCCCTGCCCGCAGCAAAGCTAGCGGGAGGGCGGGAGCCGCGCCCCAGCCGTCGGCCGCGGAGAGCGGAACGCTGGGAGCGCCCCGGCTTGCGGGCATCCAGTCCTGCTCGCAAACCGGCCCTCGGCCGGCCGCGATCCCGCCGGGGGTCCCCGTTTCGCCCCGGGGTCTCTTGACGGACGGGGCGCTCCCTAGACGGGCACCCGTCCCTCCGGCCTCGCAGCGGAAGGGGCCCCCGAAGAAGTTCGCGCGACACCGACGAGCCCGCCGCCCCAGTCCCCGTCCCCGCTTACTTGTCGCGGCGGCCGCAGAGCTGCGGGGTGGCGCCCAGAGGCTGCGGGCCGGGGCCGGGGGCCGGGCGCGCGCGCGCGGCCAGGTGGCGCCGGTGCCGCTCCAGCAGGCCGGCCTTCTCCCTGCTCAGCCGCGCCACTTGGAGCTCCAGCTCCGCGATGCGCCGCCCCCGGCGCGCCAGCAGCTCCTGCTGAGCCGCGACGATCCTGGCCAGTTCCTGCAGGTACTCGGCCGCCTCGCCCGGGGGATCCGCGGCGCTGGCCATGGTCCCGTCGGCCCCGGCCGCGCCTCAAGCCGGAGGAAGGCGGGGCGGCGGCTGGGCGGCCATGGCTGCGCAGCGGGGATGGCGCCTCCGCGGGGCTCGGGGATCGGCCCGGGGGGCGCGGCGACGCGGGCTGGCGCGACACCGCCCGGACTCTCACCTCCGCGGTGCCGCCCCGGCTGTTTCCGCGCCTCCTGCTCCGCGCGTTGGGGTGCTCCGTCGCCCGCTGTCCCACGGGCGCGACGAGGCCGAGCGAGCGCGGAGCTGCGGGCGCCGCCGGCGGGCGAGGAGTTTGCAAAGTGCCGCTACGAGGCGTGCGGAGTCCGAGCGGCCAACGCTGGAGGAAGGAGAAGGGAGGCGCCTCCTGCCGGCCTTGTGCCCCGCGCCCTGTGCCCCGGGGTGCCACTCTCAACACCACCGCTCCTAGTCTCTGGGATACATAAATTTAATAAACTAGAAATTGGGGGGAAATATATATATATCTTCAGCTTACGATTTGGGTTTGAATAGAAAAAATAATGAATTCGTGCAGACTTGGGAATGTTTAACTGATCTAAGTCTACTAAAACCAGGGTTTGTTTTGTAGATGCACACCCAAACAAGTTTTCTAGAGTAGCTCTTCCACATTCTACTCTGATGGTGGTTCTGCAGCCTCCAAGATGTCCAGTGGACCAGCTGGTAAGGCCTAGGCATGACCTTCCAAAACTCACACCCTGAGTTCTGGGAACTGATCAATTTGTAGGACAAGGACCCACCTCCACACTGGCACTGAGGTCTTCAGCCGTTTATTTGCCTCTGAGCTTCAGTTTCCACAGCAATAATGTTTTCTATTTCTTAACTTTTAAAACATCTTTATAATTTTCATACTCCAAATTTCTTTGGTACTAAAATTATTTTTCTACTTCACTTGCAGAGCTAAATATTTCCATTGTTTCTTATTTTATAGCAAATGAATTTTTAAGAATATAAATTTAACTGTGGGTGAAGCTTTAGCTACATCTCATAAATTTCTAAAGCTTTGTAATAATGTATATGGTCTTGATGGTATAGCTTTTCTTTATTAAGGCTGGCATGACACCTGGTATCTCATACACATTTTGCTGATATTCCTTCCAACAGCAAGAGAGGATGAAACCTGTATGCTGAGACCTCAGACCCTCCAGGGGCCCTACATCCTTAATGCTATGTTCTGGGCAAGATCTATGGGGAGGAAAAGAATGGCAATGGGGCCATTTAGTGGGATCCTCGAATTCACCAAGGACTCTTACATCAGGATGAAATTAAACAAACACCATGCTAACGGAAAACTCTTAACACTTGACTTTAAACTTGTCCCTCATTAAGAGGCCAGTAATAGTGCCCTAAAAATGAATATATTTATAAATCCTGTAATTATCTTGGGAAAGCACAATTATATTACAACCTATTTGTGTGTATATATGTAAAAGTGTTCATCACTACGGTTTTTACATTTAAACTATACCAAAATCTTTGCAAACCAATTCTAATACTTCCTCATTTTATAAATATACCAGGAGCCTCCCAAAAGGGATGTGGCACAGGCTTCTCTCAACTTTTGGGGGAGACCTGAACCTGGAATCATACATGGGGCCTCTGCCAATTTTAGGAGTGAAGGAAATTCAATTCTAAATCCTGACCCGAGAGGATATAACCCTGGTAAACATACTAGTATATGCCCCCAATATTGGAGCATCTAAATATATTTTAAAAACTGATAGAAGATTTTAAAGGAGAGATCAACAACAATACAGTCATACTAGGGGACTTTAACACTCCATGAATTCACTGGATAAATCTTCCAGGCAAGGAATTAGCAAGGAAACAGTGACTCTAAATAAATTGGATTAGATGGATTTAATTGACATTTATAGAACATTCACCCCAAAGCTGCAAAATATATATTCTTCTCAAGTGCACATAGGTCATTCTCAAAAATAGACGACCTGTTAGGACACAAAACAATTTAAGAAGATTGAAATCATATCAATCATCTTCTCAAACCAGAATGAAATGAAATTAGAAATAAATGACAGTAAAAACACTCAAACACATGGAGGCTAAATAGCATGTTATTAAACAATGAATGGGTTACCAATGAGATCAAGAAAGAAGTAAAAAACTTGCTGAAAACAAATGATAATAAACACATAATTATAAAAAATCTATGGAACACAGCAAAAGCAGTCCTGAAAGGGATCTTCATAGTATGACAGGCCTACCTCAACAAGCAAGAAAAAATAGTAATAAACTATTTAACCCCAAAACTTAAAGAATTAAAAAGAAAACAACAAGAAAAGCCCAGTGTAATTAGAAGGAATGAAATAATAAAGGTTACAGCAGAAATAAAATGACACTGAGACTAAAAAAAAAACAATTCAAAAGACCAATGAAACCAAGAGATGGTTCTCTGAGAAGATAAAAAAAAAAAAAAAAAAAAAAAAAAAAAAAAAGATTGATGAACTTCTAGCCAGATTCATCAAGAAACAAAGAGAGAGGACCCAAATTAACAAAATCAGAAACAAAAGGGTGAAGTAACAATTCACACCACAGAAATACAAAGGCTTCTAATCAAATACAATGAGCAAATATATGCTAATAAGCTGAAAAATGTGGATGAAATGAACAAATTCCCAGAAAAATACAATCTCCTAAAACTGAATCAGAAAGGATCAGAAAACCTGAGTACGCCAATAACAGCTGATGAAATAGAAGCAATAATCAAAACACTCACAGCAAATAAAAGCCCTGGTCCAGATGGTTTCACAGGGAGTTTTACCGAACAGTCAAAGAAGAACTAACACCTATCCTCCTCAAACTATTCCAAAAAAATCAAAGAGGAAGGAACACTTCCAAGCTCTTTCTATGAGGTCAGCATTATCTTAATTCCAAAACCAGGTAAAGAAACTACAAAGAGCCGAAACCGGTTTGGCTCAGTGGTAGAGCGTCGGTCTGCGGACTGAAAGGTCCCGGGTTCGATTCCGGTCAAGGGCATGTACATTGGTTGCGGGTACATCCCCCGTGGGGGGTGTGCAGGAGACAGCTGGTCGATGTTTCTCTCTCATAGACATTTCTGGCTCTCTATCTCTCTCCCTTCCTCTCTGTAAAAAATCAATAAAATATATTTTTTTAAAAGAAACTACAAAGAAAAAAATTACAAGTCAATATCCTTGATGAATATACATGCTAAAATCACCAACAAAACATTAGCAAATTTGATCCAGCTATATATTAAAAGAATTATACACCATAATCAATGGGATTTATTCCAGGTATGCAAGGTGGGTACAATATTTGCAAATCAATAAACATAATACCTCACAAAAATCACATGATCATATCGATAGACAGAGAAAAAGCATTCGACAAAATGCAACAACTATTTTTTATTTTAAAAAAATAAATAGTAAAGTGGGTTTAGAGGGAGCATATCTCAACATGATAAAGGCCATCTATGACAAACCTACAATAAACATCGTTCTCAGTGAGCAAAAACTAAAACCATTTCCCCTAAGAACAAGAAGACAGGGGCGCTTGCTTTCACCACTCTTATTCAACACAGTATTGGAAGTGCTAACCACAGACAAGAAGAAATAAAAGGCATCCAAATTAGAAAGGAGGAAATAAAACTGTCATTATTTGCAGATGACTTGATATTGTACATAGAAAACCCTAAAGACTACACACACACACACACACACACACACACACACACACACACTACTAGGTTTAATAAATGAATATGACAATGTAGCAGGATACAAAATCAACACCCAAAAATGGGTGGAATTTTTATATACCAAAAAGGAATTCTCAGAAGTCAAAACTAAACAAAATCTCATGAATAAATTTAACCAAGGTGGTAAAAGATTTGTACTCAGAAAACTATAGGACATTGAAAAAAAGAGACAGAGGAAGATGTAAACTAGTAGACGAATATACCATGTTCATGTATTGGTAGAATTCACATAATTAAAATAGCCATTCTACCTAAAGATATCTACAGATTCAATACAATTCTTATTAAAATACCAACAACGTATTTCACAGATCTAGAACAAATACTCCAAAAATTCATATGGAACAACAACAACAAAAATCTTGAATAGCTGTAGCAATCTTGAGAAAGAACAGAGTTGGAGGAATCACAATTTCAGATCTCAAGTTATACTACAAAGTTACAGTAGTCAAAATAGCCTGGTACTGGCACAAGAATCAATGGAACAGAACAGAGAACCCAGAAATTGACCCAAGCCATTCTGCTCAATTAATATTAAAACAGGAGGGAAGAGCTGAAACCGGTTTGGCTCACTGCATAGAGCGTCGGCCTGCGGACTGAGGGGTTCCAGGTTCGATTCCGGTCAAGGGCATGTGCTGTGGTTGCGGGCACATCCCCAGTGGGGAGTGTGCAAGAGGCAGCTGGTCGATGATTCTCTCTCATCGATGTTTCTAACTCTCTATCCTTCTTCCTTCTTCTCTGTAAAAAATCAATAAAAAATATTAAAAAAAAAAAAAAAAAAAAGGAGGCAAGAGCATACGATGGAGTCAGGGCAGTCTCATCAACAAATGGGGTTTGGAAAATTGTACACATACATGCAAAACATGAAATTAGACCACCAACTTACACTATACATAAGAATAAACTAAAAAATTATAAAAGACTTAAATGTAAAGCACAAAACCATAAAAATATTAGAAGAAATTATAGGCAGCAAAATCTCAGACATCTTTCTAGCAATATGTTTTCAGATATATTTCCTAGGACAAAGGAAACTAAGAAGAAAATAAACAAATGGGACCACATAAAAACAAAATAAAAAGGACTTCTGTACAGCAAAAGAAACCATGGACAAAATGAAAAGGGAGTCCACTGCATGGGAGAGCATATTTGGCAATGATCTGATAAAGGGTTAATATCCAAAATACATAAGGAACTCATACCACTTAACAAAAGGAAGACAAACAATCCAATTAAAAGATGGGCA